GCCGGCTCTTCCCCCCGGAGCGAGGTGGGGGCCGGTGGCTGCCGGGCGGAAGGGGCAGCGAGGGGACATCGGCCCGCTGTGCGGCTTGGCTTCCGAGACAGGAAGCTCGGTTTTCCGGGAGCTGCTTTCTCGCGGCTACGGGCCTGGCGCCTACCGGGAGCCCGCTGGGTGGAGGGTCCCCTGGGGCCTAGAAGTATTTCCGCCCCTTCAGTCCCAGGGAATGGACGGTTTTCACAGAGGCGTGAAGGCTGGACGGGTGTGAGTCCTTCCACACTCACACTCACACTCACACCCACACTCACGCTCAGGCCTAGGGCTGGGGGCCGGGCCCGCCGGAAGTGACTCTGGGCCTGGGGCGGGCGTCCGGTCGGGTGACTTCTGAGGGACGGTCCCCGCTGGGTGACGGGCTGGTGGCCGGGACAGCAGCCGCACGGAGGGCCGAGCACGCTCCCCCAGCACCCTCACCGGGCCGGGGGCGCCCCCGCGGTCGGAGTCCCTGGGAGCCAGGAGCGGGCCAGGCCCCAAAGGCCGACGGGGCCCGAGGCGCCCCGGCCCCCTGAGCCCCTCGCCCGGACACTAGCTCCCCCCGGGAAGGGCTATGTGCTCCTTTGTCCTTGTCCCCAGGATGCAAACACAGCTCGCCGTTTCCGAGGCAGCCTGTGCGCCTCAGGCCCAGTGGGCAAACGCAGCTGGTCACGGGTCTGATCCCACCGCCACCGTCCCCACTGCCGTCAGCTCGAGCTGAGGGGCAGCCGAGCAGTTGACCTTGTGTGAAACCTCGCAGAGCCCTGGGCGGCCGGGCGGCAGCCTGCAGCCAGGAGACGCCTCCTGTGTCCCCAGCCTGGGGGACGACCCGCCCAGTCTTCCTTCCCTCTGAAGGCTGGCACTTTACCCCGAAAGCCCCAGTGACTGTCACATCCAGCCGGCTTCGGGGCCGTGCTCGGCGGGCTGCTGGGGGTGGGGCGGGGACGAGTGCTCATTTCTCTCCTCGGCAGATCCACATGAAGACCATGCCCGCCGCCATGTTCAGGCTCCTCACCGGCCAGGAGACCCCACTGTACATCTAGGCCCGTCGCGCGCCCGAGGACGCCGCCCCCGCACGTGGACACGGGGCGCGTCCTTGTCGGAGGAGAGTCACAGGAGCCGAACTCTGTGGGACCCGCGTGTGCCGTGGCCGGGGCCGTGTGCCCGCTGTGACTGCCGGGGTGGCCTGTGTCCCCATGCCGAGGGCGTGGCGGGTCCCCGAGGACGGTGGCAGCGGGATGAGGCAGCCACCCCGGGGGCCTCAGGCGGCTGGCGTGGGCGCCGGCTCGGGATGTCACGATCGAGGTGTGGGGACGTGCGGCTGCTCACCGAGAAGGGACGATGCGGGTCACACCGCTGCTCGACTTCTGGTGTGACAGGCCGCTCCTCGGACCGGAGGGCTTCCAGGTGGCCCGTGACCACACCTGCTGCCATCCTCCCCTGTCCCCTGGTCGCCTGGACCTGCCTGGGCCCCCCGCGTGGGGCCTGCCCGCTCCCGCCCGGACAGCACAGCGACACGGGTGCCGTC